CACACACACACACACACACACACACACACACACATAAATTAATTAATTAATTAAAAAAAAAAACAGGAGAATCACTATGAGTCCAATCTATGTAGTGAGACCCTGTAAACCCTGTAGTACCTGTACTAAATACATTAAAAAAAAAACAAGACCAGCCTGAACTGCAGGTGGGATCCTGTCTCAAGACAAAAAAAAAGTAAAACATTTTGCAACCGGCATGGTAGTATAAATTTATATAGATATATTAATGCATTGAGGGGTTTTTTTTGTTTTTGTTTTTTTTTTTTTTCAGAACTGGGGATTGAACTCAGGTCCTTGAGCTTGCCAGGCAAGTGCTTATTCCACTGAGCTATCGCCCCGGCCCCTGCATTGAGTTTTTAGACTATTTCTTTTATTCTCTACATAATCACAGTGATCTACTTATACGTACATACATACATATTTCCTTAGGCCATTTACCTAAAACATAAAGGTGAAACTCAACTCATGCTCATTGCTGAAATGGTATTGTTATTTAGAAATTTATGTATACCTGGGTATGGTGGTACATGCCTATAATCTCAGCACTCAGTAGGCTGAGGCAGGAGGATCTCTGTGAGTTTGAAGCCAGTCTGGGCTTCATAATAAGTTCAAGGCCAGCCTGAACTATACAGTGACACCTGTTTTCTTTGTTGTTATTTTATTTCACTAAATAAAATAGAGAAGGGGCCAGGAGATGGTTCAGTAGAATAAGTGCTTGCCTGGCAAGCACAAGGGCCTGAGTTCAATCCCTGATTCTGCCAAATAAATAAATAGGGACTATTGAAATCTGCTTTTTTTTTTGTTCTTTCTTTCTTTCTTTTTCTTTTCTTTTTCTTTCTTTCTTTTTTTTTTTTTTTTTTTTTTGAGACAAGGTCTCGCTGTGCAGTTTAGACTGGCCTTAAGCTTATTTTGTGTCCCAGGCTGGTCTTGAACTTGCTATGATCCTCCTGCCTCAGCCTTCCAAGTGCTGGGGTTACAGACATGTGCCACTACGCTCAGATTAAATCTGCTTTTCAACACTCTTGAGCTACTGACCAGCCCAGCAGAACTATTTTGCCAGGTTAGCAACCGGTATCAGCAGTGCAGACCAGCTGAGGTTCAGCCTTACTTGGAAGTGCAAATGCTGGTAGTAATCATCTGCGTTCCCAATCAAATGCACGCCTGTGAACACAGAGTCTTTTCATAAGGATTTAACAGCCACTCAATTTTCCAGGAAGTGCAACCACTGTGCAAAGTGAGGAAGAGGCTATCCGGTTAGGAACTCAGCCAAGGATTGTCGGCCGCGGCGGAAAGTCATGTTGTGCTCAGCTCTCAGCAATGAGATGCCAACAGAGCGTGTTTCCACCAGGTTAGGTGCTGAGACGGTGGGGGCCCACAGATCTGCATACTGTGATGCATATTATAGTTTACTATTCTCTTATTTTTTCCATACATAATTTATTATATTTTCCCCTGGGGATTGAAGCTAAGAACTTCACATTGAGTTATATGCTCAGCTCCTTTGTTTTGTTTTGTTTTGGTGGAACCGGGGATTGAACTCAGGCCCTTGCCCTTGCCAAAGAAGCACTTATTCTACTGAGCCATCTCCCTGGCCCCTTGTTTTGTTTTTAAACCTCTCTCTCTCTCTCTCTCTCTCTCTCTCTCTCTCTCTCTCTCTCTCTCTCTGTACTTTAGGGAAGGGTCCACAGAGTGTCGAGGGTCTCACTACTAGATCAGACTCGTAGTGATCTGCCTGTTTACAGCCTCCCGAGAGCTGGGATTACAGGCCCACGCTACCACACCCAGTCTCAATTGCCATCTCCAAGTGCCTCGGGGGCAGGGCCAGCACAGCAGGCCCAGCCATCAAATCCCTGGCCCCTGCACCTGCCCGCAGGTGCTTTAATCTGCTGAGCTATTTGGCTGGCCCTCAAATTTTTGTCTTTTTAAACAATCTTTTGGGCCAATCAGATAGCTCAGCAGACTAAAGTGCCTGCTTAGGCAGACGCAGGGACTGAGTTCGAACCCCTTTGTGCCATGCTGGCCTCGCTCCCAGGGCACGCTGAGACAGCAACTGAGACTGAGCGTGGGCACACACGCTTGTAATCCCAGTGTTTGGGAGGCTGAAAACAGGAGTATCACTATGAGTCTGATCTGTATAGTGAGACCCTGTAGACTCCATAGTAAATACATAAAAAAAGAATCTTTTATTTATTTATTTATTTATATGGTACAGGGTCTTGCTACACAGCTCAAACTCATGTTGATCCTCCTGTCTCCGCTTCCCCAGTGCTGGAATTATAAGTGTGTGTCACCATACCTGGTTTCAGTGGCTGGACATGAAGTGGGGATCAAACCCGGGTCCTTGCACTTGTCAGGCAGGCACTTAGACCCCTCGAACTATCTCCCCAACCTGTTTTTTTTATTTTTATTTTGAGACAGGTCTCTCTAAGTCACTATATTCCTCAGGGAGGACTAAAATTTGCAATCCTCCTGCCTCAGCCTCCGAAGTGCTAGAATTACAGGTGTGTGACACCACAGCCCACTGGTCCATTGTCTTTTGTTTTTTGGGGTTTTTTGGTTGAACCGGGATTGAACTCAGGCCCTTGCACTTGCCAGGCAAGCACTTATTCTACTGAGCTATCTCTCTGTCCCCTGGTCCACTGGGGGTTTTTTTGTTTTGTTTTGTTTTTTTGTTTTTTGTTTTTTACAGAACTGGGGATTGAACTCTCCACTGTTTTGTTTTTTTTTGTTTTTTTTTAGCAGAACTGGGGATACTTGCATTTGCTGGTCAAGCGCTTATCCTACTGAGCCATCTCCCCGGCCCCATCTCCACTGGTTTTTTAAAAGATTTAAAACCATTGATGTAAAGTTATCTTCTAGGGGCTGAGGAGCTAGCTCAGCGGCATAAGTGCCTGCCTGGCAAGTGCAAGGTCACAAGTTCAATCTCTGTTATCTTCTAGCCAGGCAAAGTGGTGGAAGTTGTCTTCCAGCTGGGCAAAGTGGTACACATCTGTAATCCCAGGGACTGGGGAGACTGAGGCAGGAGGATCGCAAGTCAAAATCTATCCCAGATAAAAGAAAGGAGGGATGAAAATAATTGGAACCAGCCCAGAGAACTGCTTAGAATAATATGCACAATGATTACAATGAAAGGAATCAATATTCATTATAATTATTCACAGAGCTTAGAAGCTTTATCTGTCGGCTGCTTAAGCTCTGGTTCATACAGCGAAGATCAGAAGTGGTTCTAATTTTTCTACACAGCCTAGATCTATGTTTTAAACAAATTAGTAGCATGTGTTCAGCAAATTTTTAAAATGGAAAAGCTATCTTGGCTACTTGGGAGACTGAGGCAGAAGAATCACCTGTCTCCATTTTGGCTGAGCCTGACCCTATTTCCTTGTATCGATATGTACAGAGCTGGCTAGGACTTCTCTTTATCCTTTCACTTGGCCTTAAGCCATGCATACTGGTCTAGCGGAGGTACTGGTGGTAGTCTTTGAAGACAGCATGCATGTTTCCCTGATAACCCATCCCTGCTGCTCTTGGATATGAGCCAGGTCAAGACAGGATGAAGAACCAATGCTCCGTACTACCCACTGGGAGCTGAGATCGAGCCTTCGCTGGGATCGAGCCTCGAGACAGGCTGTGACTTCCTCAGGCTTGAGAGAGTACACATCAGAGCTGAAGCACCAGACCCCAAACGTTAGATATTATCTCAATAGTATTTTTCTTGTTTGGTTGGTTTTTGGGTGTTTTGTGTGTGTGTGTGTGTGTGTGTGTGTGTGTGTGTGTGTGTCTGTGTGAAACCGGGGATTGAACTCAGGCCCTTGCGCTTACCAGGGAAGCACTTATTCCACTGAGCCATCTCCCCGGCCCCTATCTCAATAGCATAATGCAAATTACTTTTTCTGCATATCCTTCTCTCCAAATGTGACAGGTAAATGCAGGCCACCTACCTAGCTCAGCTCACAGTACTCACCTACTTTCCACAAATCTCAGTCATTCATCCTTAAACCATTCCTCCTTCATGACTGAATAAAACCCAGGTTTGGCCTTGGATTGGCCCTTTTTGTTCAGGAAAGGCATCTTCATGGCTGGACTTAGGACCCCTTGGCTGCCCATAATTATAAATATGCTTTAATGTCTTTATTTTCACTGTGGATTGCACTGGAAGTGGTAGATTGGAATTAACTTGGTGGGATTCCAATAACGTACTTTTGGTATTACAAATATAGACTTCTTGGACTAAGACAAGGACCCAGGAGGGCCTTCCTACATTGGGCAACTTTTAGTGAGATCTTGTCTCAAAATAAAAAATAAAAAAGGGATGGAGATGTAGCTCAGTGGTAAAGTGCCCTGGGTTCAATTCCCAGTAGGAGAAACAAATACGTTGTTTTGTTGTGTTGTGGTTCTAGAGCTTATCAAATCAGGGCCTTCTCAATGAGCTACATCCTCAGTCCTTCTTTTTATTTTTAAATTCTGACACAGAGTTTGCTAAGCGAGTAAGTGGCTCAGACTGGGATCCAGCTTGCCGTCCTCCTGCCTCTGCCTCCCAGAGTCCTGGGATAACAGCGGTGAGCTACTACATCTGATTGTAACGCAATCCTAGCCTCATACAAAACCCTTACCACACCAACTTCCCCAGATATTAAGACACTCCCAAACTCTTATCCTTTATTTTTAGGGAAGGGTCTACAGGGTGTTCAGGGGCTCACTGCTAGATCGGGCTCATAGTCACCCGCCTGTTTACAGCCTCCCAAGAGCTGGGATTACAAGTGTGTGCCACACACGCCCCGTCTCAGTTGCCTTCTCAGAGTGCGCTGGGGGCAGGGCCACAGGGCTAGCATGAGGGGACAGGAATTGAACCTCCAGCCCCTGAGCCTGCAAGCAGGCGCTTTAATCCGCTGAGCTATTTGGCTGGCCCTACAAACTCTTATCCTAACCTATCAAGGACTGTGACAGAACAGAAAGCATTTAAAATACCAATTACCTAGTTACTCAACCTACAGATTCATTAGTTGCACAGAATCTGATATGAACTGCTTCTCTTTTATCCCACGACTATCCACTGAACCAAGGAGATGCTAAAGATAACCCATTGACCTGGTTGGTGGTGCCTCCAGGCACGCGGCGTAGTCCGAAGGACCTCAGAGGGGAAGAAGACATTTTTAGTGTAAAAGCAGGACTCAAGCTTCCACACCAGGTGAGAGCTGCTAGAGGCTACATCCGGGACTCACAGGATGTCAGACAGCAGAGCAGCAGATTTTCAATTCAAATAGCAGATATGGGGTTTTCATAGAAAAAGCAAATCATGGGCCGGGGAGATAGCTCAGTAGAATAAGCGCTTCCCTGGCAAGCGTGAGGGCCTGAGTTCAATCCCCGGTACCACAAAAGAAAAAGAAAGAGCAAATCATGGGCTGTAAATATAGCTCAGGGGTAGAAGTGCCTCCCTGGCAAGTGCACCAACCAATAGGGCCGGCCAAATAGCTCAGTGGATTAAAGCACCTGCAAGCAGACACAGGGGCTGGGGGGCTCTATCCCCAGGTCTGCTGTGCTGGATCCAACCACCAAGACGCACTGAGACAGTGATTGAGACTGGGCATGGTGGTATGCGCCTGTAATCCCGGCTCTAGGGAGGCTGTAAACAGGCAGATCACTAGGGGTCCAATCTAGTAGTGAGACCCTGAACACCCTGTGGACCCTTCCCTAAAGTAAAGAAAAAAAAGCCAATACATCATTACACTGGGGCTATTTAAGCCCTGAGATATCAGATATCAAGGAGTATTGTATCCTATGTAGGTGGTTACAATGGGAAATAAAGTTTTGTTTTGTTTTATGCTGAGGATTGAGCCCAGGCCTTCCCTTGAAGCTACATCCTTGTTCTTTTATTTTTTTGAGATAAGGTCTCAACAAGTTGTTAAAATTGCCCGGGCTGGGTTTGAACTTGTGATCCTCCTCTTCAGCCTCCCAGCTGCTGGAATTACAGGCCCACATTACCACGCCTGGCTTCTTTCCAGGAATTATCAGCGAGACTCATCCGGGTTGCAACGTGTCAGTTCCATTCCTGCTAACCCAGCTTTCTCCACTGTGGGAAGCTGCCACCTTGTCCAGCTGATTTGTCCGTAGATGGTGGCAGTCATGCAGAGCAGCTAGGTCATGTGTGGCCAAGGATGGAGGAAGAACAGCTAACAGCTGCAGAGATACAGCTGTGCAGGAGAAATTACTCTTAATGTTCCCAGCACCACAGGACAACGATGGCATCAGCTGGGTATTTCAGTAGCTCATTGAATTGCTCAGCTATCCCTTGATAAAGCATCTGGCAACCACAACTTAAATGACAAGAGGTGGGCTTGCCTTTTTTTAAGATAGGGTCTCATGAGGCAGCTCAGGCTGGCCTTGAGCTCACTATGCTGCCCGGGCCGGTCAGGAGCTCGCAGAGGCTCCCTCGTGGTGTTGGGATTACACGCATGGGGCACCATACCCTGCTAGCAGTGGATTTTGGGTCAGGGCTTAGTCCAGTGATAGGCTCCAAGACAGGAACCACTTAGTTAAGGGCCTGCCTGAGGACAGCATGTCTGGCCACCTCAGCCAGGAAGGCCAAGGGTAGAGCCAAAAATGTGCTTGTCTGGGTCCAGGCCACGCCCCCAACCCCAACAGCAAGGTCCGATCCTGTGTGTGAGGAAGGAATCCACAGATGAGTCCAGTGCCTCCATGGCCCACAGCCTTCAAAAGACCAGGCTTTGAGGAACATTGTAGACCTAAATCATAACACTGACTGTGGATTTTGGATGTTCCCAGCACAAACAATGTCGGAGGCAAGGGCTATGCTGATGACACTGGTCATTCCACACTCCATACAGGCACCAAAATGTAACACAGCACCCCTTACCTATGCACAGTTACTGTGCCGATTAAAAAATCTAATAAGTGGGGCCGGGGAGATGGCTCAGTGGAATAAGCGCTTCCCTGGCAAGCGCAAGGGCCCGAGTTCAATCCCCGGTTCCGCAAAAAAAAAAAAAATGAAAGAGTTCTGCGTATTCTATGGGGGCTGGTGAGATGGCTCAGTGGTCTAAAGCACCTACTTAGAACAAGCTTGGCAAAGCACAGGGACCGCGGTTCAATCCCCCAGCACCACATGCTAGCCAGCCCCGCCCCCTGGTGGGCTCAGCTGGCCACACACACACACACACACACACACACACACAAATAAAATTTAAAAAAAAAAGAAAAAAAAAATCTAATAAGTCAGGCACTCCTGTTATCTTAGCATTCTAGGGAACTGAAGCAGGAGGCACACAAGTTCGAACCCACCCTGGGCAATATAGCAAGACTCAAAATTTCTTGGTTGAGACAGGGTCTCACTGTGTCATACTGGCTGGCCTCAAACTCTGGGTGGTTGTCCTGCCTCAGCCTCCTGAATGCTGGGATTACAGGCATGCACCATCACACTCTGCTTGTATGCAAGTTCCAGTATGAACAAGTTTCCATTTCTTACTGAGTCCAGCTGCCCTACAATGCCCTCAGTACCCAGTATCCTAGTTTCCTTCCCAGCTACAGGCTTTTTTTTTTTAATTTTTTTTACCAAGCTGTACAGTAAGCAGTATCTCCTCATGGTTTTCCAGCAGTAAGCTATTTCTGCCATTGTTCGTGGTCCTCAGGACCAAAGTCAGGGGCACTCTGCCGCTAAGCAACACCCCCAGCCGCTGGAAGTTCTCATCCTTTTGCCCCTGCTCCAAAGTACCTGAGATTTACAGGCGTGCATAACCGGGCCTGGCTCAGCTGTGGCAATGGATCACACATTTTTGTAGTCACAGCTAATGCTTTTAGATAAATTCTTACTGGGCTAATTTTTTTAAAAATCTTCTATTGGTACAGGGTCTCACAACACAGCACATGCGCCACTATGCCCAGTGGCCATGGCTAGCATGGCATGTGATACCAAAAATCAAGCCTATGTCCTTGCACTTGCCAGGCAGGTGCTTAGACTGCCGAGCTATCTCCCCAGCCCACTTTTAGATAAATTCTTAAAACACCAAACACCCAATTAAATATACTTTATTGCTAAAAAACATCCTTTGGAGTAAAAGTATTTATCCTTGGCCCCAGGGCTCCTGGGAGTGTTTGCTACTGCAGAGGGACAAAGGGCCTGGGGACATGGTGGGTGGGACGTACCACAGCTAGGTGGCCCCAACATACACACATCACAACACAGCCACTACAAACCAAGCATTCACTCAGTCATCCCCCTCAGCCACCATAACATAGCATCTGCTCATCACCACCCCTCAGAGGGGGTCAAACGCCATGGGATGACTCCTGTGCCCTGAGACGGGGGCCAGCCAGCTGGGGGGGGAGGGCTGTTACTACCTTAGGTGGGAGACAGATGCTGAAGAGCAGATTTGGGAAGACAATAGACACACCCGCCCCCTGTTGTCTAGGAGGGGGACAGGCTCCTCACTCTAGCTCCCCAGAACATGTAGCAGCCCCCCAAGCCCCAGCTTGTCTGTCATGTGATTCTCATGATACTGATGTCCCATGTGCCCGCAGCAGGCCAAGCCGGTCCCTCCTGGGCTTCACATGACTGACTCCTTTTCACACGTGGCAGCATCATTCTCAGTGTTGTGATAACTTTTAAGGAGGGGGTTCCCCTCCTCTGGGACGGGTGGCAGTGGATCCAGGGGCACCTCACTTTTCGTCTGGATCAACTGAGGCTCCGAGCTCTGCAACTTCATACGATCCACATAGTTTTGGAGGAGTCCGGCCCCAAAGGCATCACCTTCCACATTGATGACGGTACAGGACCGGTCTCTAAAAGGGTGCAATTGACAGGAAGGAAAATGAGATGGGAAGGAAGCAAAGGGCCAAGGGCCAAGGGCCAAGGTCGACACCTTCTGTCTCTTCTGATGGAATCATTGCACTTTGAGACAGGTTCTCTAAGTTGCCCAGGTGGGCCTCAAATTTGGGATCATCCTGCCTCAGCCTCTCTAGTGCTTGGGATTACAGGCCACTCTGGGCCACCATGACCAGCTTCATATTTACTTTCAAAACCACACTAGTTTCCAATATTTACACTCTTTTATCGCACACTGCAGGTCAAACCCAGGCTCATGCTAGGCAAGTATTCTACCACTGAGCTACCCTCCCAGCCTTCAAATTTTTGTTTTGTTATTTGAGACAGGGTCTCCCTGGCCTAAGTGCCAACTCTACTAATCACATAGGCTTACTACCTTTCTTGGGTTCCTCTTAGAACTCCACAGATGTCAACCCTACCTCTAGAGCTCTTTTCTGTCTTGGAAGATGCCCTGAGACACACTGGCCCCCTTCCCTTTCCAGGGGTGTCCCATAGCCCCCTACCACCACCACTCACACCAGCCAGTCCATCGCCAGGATCAAGGAGATGTCGTTGACAGGGAGGTTGACGGCTTCGAGGATGATGGCCAGAGTGAGGATCCCACCTGCAGGGATGCCGGCCGCCCCGACACTGGATGCGGTGGCTGTGATGCTGAGAGCAGCGGGGAGGAGGTCAGGTGAGGCAGACACCTCAGGGCCGGAAGAAAGTGCGGCGAGGCAGGTCCAGGGGCTATAGCTGCAACACCCACCCTAGGTACTCACAGGATGGTGATGATCTTTACCAAGTCCAAGGGCTTCCGGTTAAGTTGAGCAATGAATACGGCAGCCACGCACTGGAAGAGCGCTGCTCCGTCCATGTTGACGGTGGCGCCGATGGGCAGGATGAAGCGGCTGATGTGCTTGGCCACGCCGTTCTTCTCTTCCACATACTTCATCATCAGGGGCAGCGTGGCGGAGCTACCGGGGAAGCCACGCAGTCAGCGCCCCGCCCCCCGACGGCTAACACCCCCTCCCCCAGAACCCGCGCATCTCCTTAGCTTCCTTCCTAACTTGCAGCCCTTTATCCTGTCGCAGCCAAAGACTGGATGCAAAAGACCCTACAAAATGCCAAGATTCTAAAATATGTAACCTGGACACCCCCGAGTATAAACCACTACCTCTTAAAATACCCAAGGAAAGATGATATCTAAGGCAGAGGTTTCCGAAATTTTTAGGGTGGAACCCAGGACCTTGAGAAACTGATTGTTGAGTATAGCCCCTGTGTCTAGATCTATCTACTATTCCCAAAGTTTCTGGTTCTCGGATCCCCAATACCCAGCCCATGCCCCTTTGCCTAAATATCCCGCCCTGACAGACAGCAAGGCACACCTGGAAGAGGTCCCAAAGGCGGTGGCTAGTGGCGTCACAATGCCCCACAGGAAACGGTAGGGGTTTTTGCGCGTGAAGAGGAAATAGATGAGAGGCAGGACCAGGAGCCCGTGGATGACGTGGCCCACCAGGCAGCACAGGACATATTTGCCAAGGTTGGTGAAGAGCTGCCCCACATCCTCTATCTCCATGATCTTGCTGGCCACCAGGAACAAGATGCCCACAGGGGCGTACCTAGTAGTCACCAAAAGACTAGTTACTGCTGCGGCCCCATTTTCCAGACTCCCCCAATGTGAGGAGCCCAGGGCAAGGTGCTTGAGTTTGCGCACCACTCCCAGCAGCCTCTGTTCCTTCCCCCAGGCTTTCCTTTGAAGATAGAACAGTCAGGAAATAAAAGCCTGGGTGCTTCCAACACCACTCTGAGGTGATATTAAATCCAATTTGGATTTAACAGCTCAGCGAGACAGAAACATCCATTATGTGGCTGTGTTTTTTCACTTGCTTGTTATAGCAGCCAGTCTGACTTGAACCAATACAACCTCAGCAACTCATCAAAAATAAAATGGTTTCAGATCTCAGTAATTCGCACATGAGGAATATACAACACACTGAGCCTTTGATCGTGACTGAATTGTCACAAGAACCCACAAGGGAACTCCCATGTGAGAGTGTCTCAACCAGGAATAGTGACACATGCCTGTAATCCTAGCACTCAGGCAGGAGGCCAGCAAGTCTGAGGCCAGCAGAGCTACACAGCAAGACTTGGCCTCAAAACAGTGCCAAGCATGGTGGCACTGGCCTATAATCCCAACATTCCAAGATGCTACGACAGGGCCAGGGAGATGGCTCAGTAGAATAAGTACTTCCCTGGCAAGCTGAAGGGTCTGAGTTCAATCCTCGGTTCCGCCAAAAAAAAAAAAAAAAAAAACACTAGGACATGAGGATCACAAATTCAAATTCAACTTGGGTAACTCAGAGATTTAATGATATCCTGTCTCAAAAAACAAAATTCATTAATTAAAAAAGGACTGGGGATGTAGCTCAGCCTGAAAGCTCTAGGTTCAATCCCTGTTACAAAACCAAAAAGACCAATAATGTACCAGCTTTGGATTCTTAGCAGTCATGGAATTCAGTACTGTTGCCATTTTTTAAGTGAGGGAACTGAGGCACAGAGATGGCAAGTCACTTGCCCCAAGTCACACCGCCATGGAATCGATGTTGGATTTAAATGCAGGCCCTCTGGCCCCAGGGAACAGATGCAGTCTCTCCCTACCCCAATGCAAAGGCCCAGCCTGTGTCCTACTACCTACCACATGATCCAGGAGACCAGCACCATGGCGGCATCATTGAAGGAGCTGAAGAATTGGATGAGCAGCTCTCCCTCGGGCCCCAGCTTCCGCAGCGCCACACCAAAGACGATGGCAAACACCACCAGGCCCAGGATGTTCATGCCATCCACCTCTTTTCCCACAGGCACCTTTGTCAAGAAATAGATGGGAGTGAAAGGAGGGATACGCAGTCCAACTGCCCAGCCACGGAGGGCCTGTCCTGGACACCATTGAGACCCAGCAGAACCAAGACAGCCTGAACCAGTCTGGGTCCAGGGGAAACAGGTGTCACTAAGGGGTCGCCTGAGTCAATAGGGCTGGAACTGGGGAGCCCCCGGAAAGGGGAGAAACTGAAAGGAGTGTCAGCCTAGCCACCAGGGAAGGATTCCTGGAGGAAGGGGCACCTGAGCAGAAGACAGAAAAGGTAAACCAGATAAAGAAGTAAATCAGGTAGTAGAAATTTCTAGAGAGGAAACAATGTTCAATAGCTAAGAAAAGAGCCCAAGGGGAGCATTCAAAGAATGGAAAGAAGCTGGGCATAGGGGCACAGGCCTGTAATCCTAGCACTTTGGAGGCTGAGGCAGGAGGATCACTATAACCAGCCAGCCTGGACAGAAGCTGAACAGAGGAGTCATGAGTCTGGGGGAGGGAGGCTGCTGGGATCTGACTTTCCAGGGAGCCATTGTGCAGAGACTATGGCGAGAAGCCTGGGCCTTTTCCTGAGGACATTAGGGGACGTAGCAATTTGCACTGTAGATAAGACTCCTTTGCTACCAGGTTGGGGACAAGTGGGATAGGATTGGGGGTTGGGAAGGAGTAATCGTTCATAGAGGTGGGTCATGGGGAAGGAAAAGCCAGGACAAAGTGGAGCAGCATTTAGAAGGTAGAAAAACCCGAAACTGGCCAAAGACTGCAGTTTTTTGTTTTTTTGTTTTTGTTTTTGAACCAGGAATCAACCTCAGGACCTTGCGCCTACCAGGTAGGCAATGTGCCACTGAGCTGTACCCCTGGCTCGAGAGTGTAGAGTTTAAAATAAATCCCACACCATTTAGAAGGCAGACAAAGACTGGGGCAGGAACCAAACCAGAAAACCACAAAAAAACAGTGTCACCTTGCAGCGCTTCGTTTGCTTACCTTCACAATGGTGTGGTTGAACGGTCTGTCTTCGTAGGCGGTGGCGTACTGCAGGTGGGGTTCAAAGTCAGTGTCAAATGTCACAGAGCCCCTCTCCCCCCCAGGCCACCATGTTCAGAGCCTGCCCTAAGCACCCTGTAAATGGATTTCCCCTGCCAGCAGCAATCCCACCAAGATGGGAGGAATAGCATCCCATTTCCTGGCTGCAACGCCACCTGCTGAGTCACCTGTCACAGTTGGAATGAAAGCCCACAGGATGCTCCAAACCCATATCCCCGCTTTTCACTGGCTGAGGGGGCTACCCAAGAACCCTACAAAAAGCACACGTAATGTGTGGCCACATTCGTGTTCCCAGGCCCAAAAGTCAGTGGCAAGTCTATGAACAGCTGTCTCTGGCTGTCTCCCTCCCTCCCCACCCCGGTGGGAAAGACCTGAGAACTTACTGAGCTGAAGGCTGCAGAGACCAGGTTAGAGGGGAAGATGTTTCTGTAGGAATACACAGAGGGGTTACTAAATGTAATCATGGAGGACAGGGGACAGGGGTGTAGGGGTGTGGGGGTGTGTTGGCCTCCTAGAGGAAAGTGAAGGGACCTGAAGGGACCTTCTGAAGCCAAATGTGAAATGCGTCTCACACACACACACACACACACACACACACACACACACACACACTCCTGCCAGGATTCAGCTTATACACATTTCTTTCTTTCTTCTTCTTTTTTTTTTTGTAGAACCAGGGATTGAACTCAGGCCCTTGTACTTGCCAGGGAAGCGCTTATTCCACTGAGCCATTTCCCTGGCGCCGGCTTATACACATTTCCAGGGTTGCAAGTCTGAGGTGACCTTCTCTGGCTCATGAAAACTGCCATTCCAGACCCAGGGGATTGTGGGTTGGAAGTAAGGGACGCTGGGCCCCAAGGCAGGGGTCGGGCGTAACTCCGCCCATGCAGCAAACTTAACATTCTAGCCATCTTGCATCAGCTACTTCCGGGAGGACTGAGAAAAGGGCTAGTTCCTGAGGGGCAGGCAGGGAAGGGTGTGGCGTGGGAGGGTCTGGATGGGCTGGAAAGTGGAAGTGAGAGGCGGCAGGACCTGCAAGGCAGGCGAAAGTGTCATGAATATGCATGTGCACTTAACAGTGTCCCTTGCCTGTCCAGAGGGAGTAAGAACAGCCAACTAGTTTTGCCAGGCATTCCACCCTCACAACTGCCCTGGGACAAGCATTAGTACCATATTTCACAGAACAGGAAATGGAGGCACAGAAGGGCAAAAGACTTGCCCAGGTAGGAAGTGAGAGCTGGGAATGGAACCTAGCCAACAGCCTGGCATCCTCCCTCTCCTGAGGACCAGCGCTACAATCAGACTTGGGGCCATGGGGCCAGCACAGCCAGGCTGTGTGGTGCAGGGGAGCAGTGTGCACGTGGACATGTGCTCAAATGTGGGTTCAGCCATTTCAGAGGCAGATGGCACCACCAGGTGCTCTGCTACCGGGTGTTAGCCCCACAGTGCGGATGTGTAACAGCTGCTGTGAGGCCACGTGTCTTGCTTGTCTCTGGGCGCCTGTGTCCGGCTGCAGGGCTGTTGCTAGAGGGCTGGGTGACTGTGGCCAGCCAAGTGTGAGTCACAGCTGTGTTGGTGCTGTTAAGGGGTATAAGGAGCTCATGAACAGCCCAGAGTGGGTGTGCCCGCCTGCAGCCTGGGGCTGGGCCAGGACCCTGCTAATCTCAGCCAGCCAGGAGGTGTCACCCACTACAAATGTGGAGAGCAACCCTGCAGTGTCATCCCACCTCACTTCACTAACATCCCCGGGTTGGTAAGGCCCATTCCATGACATAGTTTCCTCCCCCAACTTCCAGGAAGTCCCCAGCCCAGACACTGACTCCAGAGGCCTTAAAGGCAAAGGCTACAGGGACCCCACCATCTACCCCCTGGGGAGGGAAAGGGCAGAAGTTATCCAATCCGGTCCCCTTCAAAGGTCGTGGGGCTGAACTGAAAGACGGAAGAGGGAAGTGACCAGGTCAGCTGACCTGAACAAAACCCCCTTTCTGAAGGGGGAGGCTTCAGAAAGGCAGCTATGTCTGGGTGACACCTGGTGTGGGTAGGCTCAGGGCTAGGAGGGGGCTCCAGATCCCCTCCAGTCCTCCAGGGGATCCTTCCCCAAGAGCCCCAATCTCTGTGACACTGTTCCCAAGCTCCCTGTCCTCAAAGTCCATTGCTTCTGGACAGACTACGTCCCAAGACTCTCAAGTATTCGCCTTCCTTCTCTAAGTCCTCCTTGCCTATCACCCTCATGCACGATCCTGCTCATGTACCCAGCCCCCAAGATTTAAAAACTGCTCCCCAGAAGTCCGGCTTCATTCTTCCTAGTGACCAGAACCCCCAACCAGCAACCCTACGGAGGGATGCCTCACTCTAGAGGACCCAAAGTCCTTTCCTGCCCACGTGGCCACTGCCACACGCCTAGTACCGGAGCTGCCCACCCCACTCAGAGGAAAGAGAGGATGTCTGACCTCACAAGATCCAGGAAGGAATCCACCACCTCCTTGTTGGGGGTCTGTCCTGCTGATTGGGCGGCAGAGGTGTTGAGGGTGGCTGTGGTGTTCAAAGTAGCTGGGGTGGTGAAGGCACTGCCCGGCTGCAGCACCAAAGCCAAGCCCACACCGATAGATGAGGCTAGCAGTGTGGTCACCAGGAAAAAGAGCAGCACCCAGGCGCCCAGGCGGCCAAGGGCGCTGGGGTCCAGGCTGGCGGCCCCGCTGACCAGGCTGCATACCACCAAGGGCAAGATGATCATCTTCAGCAGGCGCAGCAGCAGCTCTCCCGGGAAGGCAAAGATTACCAAGTGATCGGGCCTCATCTGGCCGCTGGTCCCCGACACCCCCAACCCCAGGGCCACGCCGGCCACCACGGCCGCCACGGTCAACAGTACCAGAAGGTTGGCTCTCAGGCAACGACGCACCCGGCGACGAGACAAGCAGCAGCTACCGGCCGTCGCGCCTCGGTCCTCCGTAGGACTCAGCTCCGGGCCCCCGCTGGCAATGGTCCCCGCCGCCATGAACCCCTTGGGGTCGGCCTTCGGAGGATCGACCACCATGATTAGCAGGGCCGGGTTCCTAGACGCCGGGATGCTGGGAGCGGTTGGGGCTCTCTCTCGGGACACGCGTCCTTAGGGCGGAGAGGGGGATAAGAGCGCCCGGAAGGTGCACCTCCGCAGGGTGCCTTGAAGTTGAGAGTTCAGAGGCTCTCGGGAGCCGCAGCGTGGGTGCCCTCGATAGGGCGCCTGGGCTCCTGAGCTCTCGCCGGTGGTATAGGACGTCCCCAAGCGCCTGGCTTTCTCAGCTCCGCCAGTTGGGCATACAGGAGTTTCTCGGGCTGGGACGTGAGGTCCTCGGCTCGCAGAGGTCGAAAGCAGAGGTGGCTGAGGTCCGCAGGAAGCTAAATCCAGGTAGCGTAGACTCGGGACGTCTGGCTTCGGAAGTCGGGGACCTGGGTCCTGGAAACCGAGGGTTAGGGCGCCGGAGCTGGGATGCCAGGAGGCGGACTCCAAGAGGAAGGAACTTTTGACTCTTGAGTCCGGGAGGTAAAACTCAGGCCCCTGGGTACAGAAAGTACCGGCTCCGGACTAAAGAAAAGAGCAACCCACAAGCGAGGCAAGGCGCCCGGGGCGCGCCGCGTAGCTCTGGGCGCGCGCGGCGGAAGCTGCCAGGATTAAAGGCGGGACTGGGGCTCGAGAAGGCGGGCTCCGGCCCTCGGGCTCGAATTGGCTGCGGCGCCTTCCAAGCTCTCCAGCTAGAGCCCGGCAGGGCTGAGACTCGAGAGGGACCAGTCGCTCCGAGGAGGCTAAAACTCCAGGTCTGAAAGGGCTTGACCGGGAGAGGGCGGGGCCAGGGACCCAAAACGGGACCGAAGGGGCGGGGCTTTGGGAAATCGCTGTTTCGCGCCAAAGAAATTGCTTTGTGGGCTAGGGCAGGTAAACCACAGCTGTTCACCGGCTCGAGGGTCCTTAGGAAGTGCAGGTGATACTCAAATAGTTTATTTGCAAATCAGCATAGCTTCGTACTTATAGCTTTGAGTTGTCTTTTGTCATCTCTCAGAATTTAAGTTCCTCTGCTGTGAAATGCAAGTAACAGAAGCTCATCCCCTACATGATTGCTGTAAGATTTGAATGATACAATTGTTCATTGAATGTTTTGTTTTCTTTGTCTTTTTCTTTTCTTTCTTTTTTGGCAGAACCAGGGATTGAACTCAGGCCTTGAGCTTGCCAGGGAAGCGCTTATTCAACTGAGCCATCTCCCCAGCCCCTTGTTTGTTTTTTAATTTTTGTTTTAAGACAGGGTCTCCCTGTGTAATTCAGGCTAGCCTTCACCTCACCATATTTTGCAGGCTGGCCTTGAACTCCGTGCTCTAACCAGGCTTCTGAGTGCTCACTGAATAATGTTTAGAGTTTACTTATTTTGACCCCCTCTACTAATGCCTGAGATAGCCTCACTCTCCCATGTTCCTGACTTGAAAGCAGGTAAAAGTAATGAAGTTTTCAGGGTCCCAGGCCCACTGCCAGAGCAGGGGATTTGGACTTGGGTGTCTTTGAGCCTGCCTGCACCCTCATCCTCCATCAAACACTGTTAGGATGCCTTCACCTGGTACCTCTTCAGGAATGGAGATTTCCTTAGAGAGACTCATTTGTTCTGATCATGGTTTGGGTGCTGTGAGAGTAGACAGGGACCCAGCAACTGCAATGACAGTCTTGGCTCTGTGTCCCTGGGACCTAAAGTCCAATGAGGGAAACTGAGCCATCCCCCCAGTGATGACAGTGATAGAATTGGGAAGCAGGGGATACTTTGAGGAAGAGGAATCCAGCTGAAACAAGAAGCCAAACTGCTATGGCTTGAGAATGGTTTGTCCCCAAATTAGGCAGGAATTTAATCCCCAAAGATTTATGGTAATGGTATTAAGAGGTTGGAACATTAATCTGGCATGCTTAGGGATGAGACCCATCAGAGATTAGATTGGGGGATTGATGAGAAGAGCCAGGCTTGTTAGCTCCACCTGTAATCCCAGCTCTTTGGGGTGCTAGGGAAAGAAGAGCAAAAGTTGGAGCCTTTGACTGTACAACTTGGTGAAAAAAAAATGTTTTCATTTTATGTATTTGGTACAGGGTCTCACTACGCAGCTCGGATTTGTAGTGCTTCTCCTGTTTTCAGCCTCCCCATGCTGGGATTATAGGTGTGCACCACCATGCCTGACTTGGTTGCCAACTCAGTGTGCCCCAGGCGCAAGGCCGGCTCAGCATGTGGGATAGGACCAGGGTTCCTGGTCCCTGCACTTGCCAAAGCAGACACTTAGTCTGCTGAGCTATCTCGCGGGTCCTGACAAAACAAAAAATAAAACAAAGACTACAAAGTAGGGCCAGCCAAATAGCTCAGTGGATTAAAGCACCTGCAAGTAGGTGCAAGGAATGGGGGTTCCATCCCTGAGATCCCTGGACCCACCCCTGGGATGCGCTGAGACAGCAATTGAGACTGGGTGTGATGGCACATGCCTGTAATCCCAGCTCTTGGGAGTCTGTAAACAGGTGATCACTATGAGTCCAATCTAGTAGTGAGACCCTGAACACCCTGTAGACCCTTCCCTAAAAATACAAAAAAAAAAAGAAAAGACTATAAAGTAGACAGTCTCAGGGCTGGCCAGATAGCTCAGTGGATTAAAGCACTTGTTTAAGCAGAGAGAAAGAAGGGGGTTTGATCCCTGGTGTGCTGTGCCAGCTCCGACCCCAGGGCGTGCTGAGACAGAGATTGAGACTGAGTGTGGTGGCACCCACCCCTAATCCCAGGGTTTGGGAGGCTGAAAACAGGATTATCACTAAGAGTCCAATCTGTGTAGTGAGACCCTATAGATCCTGTACTAAACACTTAAATAAGTAAATAAAAGAGCCAGTCTCACGTGGTTCCTTAGAATAAGAAAAACTGACTTACCCATGGCCTACTCCAGTTGAAGGGAATGGTACCTGCAAAGCCATCAAGCTAAAGAGCTGGGAACATTCTGAAACAAAGATCTAACCTAGCTGCCCCTGTCCTCTGGATGCCCCACTACTCCCTGCAAGATTTGGTCCAGATTCCTCAGTGGGGCATCCATCCATCCAGTAGTTCATGCCTTCATTACTCCACAAACCAAATGCACATAACAGAATGCAAAAGCCATTAAATAGCAAGAGATGTCCCCATGTGCCAGTGCTGACACTGGGCAGTGCCATGATTCATCTACCAGTTTGGACCCCTACTTTATCAAAGGATGCTCAAGTCCCTCATAAAATGCTACAGTGTTAAAAAAAAAAAAATACAGGGGGCGAGGGGAAAATGCTAGTGTTTCCCAGGACCTATGCAGATCCTCTTTTTGTGCATTCTGTGAGAGTGCACGCGCTTGTGTGTGTAGCACTGAGAATTGAACTCAAAGCCCCATACATGCTGGGCCATTGCTCTGTCACTGGGCCACATTCCCATTCCCAGCAATTGTTTTTTCTTTTTCTTTTTCTTTTTCTTTTTCTTTTTCTTTTTCTTTTTTCCCGGAACCAAGGATTGAACTCAGGCCCTTGCGCTTGCCAGGCAAGCACTTATTCTACTGAGCTATCTCCCCGGCCCCAGGAAGGCAAAATTTAAAGAATTTATATGGTAAAAAAAAAAAGAAAAAGAAAAAGAAAAGAAAAGAAAATGTGTGGAGAACAAGTGGGGCAACTCTCCTTGAAAGAAGAGGAGCTGTCTCCATTTTGGCTGTGCCTGACCCTACTTCCTTGTATTGATAGGTACAGAGCTGGCTAGGACTTTTCCTTATCCCTTCAACTGACTCTAAGCAATGCAGATAGGTCTAGCTAGATGCTGGTGGCAGTCTTTGAAGACTGCAGGCATGTTTCCCTGGAAACCCCCATCTGCTGCTCTTTAATATGAAAGGGAGGAGACAGGACAAAGAGTCAGTGTTCCACACTGTTGGCTGGGATTGAGCCTGAAGATACAGGCTTTGACTTCTAGGGGCTTGAAAGATTACACATCAGAGCTGGGGAGATGGCTCAGTGGAATAAACGCTTCCCTGGCAAGTGCAAGCGCCTGAGTTCAATCCTTGG